ATAGGTTCAGAATACTTACACTGACATAGTCTTCTAGAATAAATCAACCTAATAACTCGAGCGAAGCCGGATACTTTCGTTAGTAATAATATAATAATAAGACACACATTTAGCATAATCTTAAAAATTACGCCTGAATGTAAATATAATTGCTATTGGTTATGTGCATATTTCACGTGTTCAGTTTTGACAATGCATGGATGTCAACGTGCATTTTATATGCACTACAAAAGGTTGAATATGTTATATTCGAACGAATTTACATTCAATTCAGCAATTCATGTGACAAACACAGCTGTTTAGCACTACATTTTGACATGCTGTCATGTAGGTTGTAGGATGCCATTAAAATTGGTTACTATTGGAAAGGCTATGTAACAGCCTTTTACAACGCAAAATATTCATACACATAGGTCATAACTACGTGTACAGATCGGTAATTTAGAATTTGTAGGACGGGAATTGCTCATGTATTAAAAGAAGTTCGAAGAAAAGGGAGTATGGATCAATTTGGGGTACCATGACCATCCATAAAGAGATCTGCAACAATTCGTATCCCAACTAAGGTAAGCAAAGTACAATGTATTGAAATAGGTTTGAATCCATGTATAAAATAGTTAGTGGCAAGATCCACCAATGTGCCCCAGGCAACAATTCACAATATAACCAAGAAGGATCTTCATCTAGAAAAGTGATACAAGCAAAGCGTACACAAGTTGGTTCCATGACATATCCACTCAGTCATCGCACACTTAAGAAGTTGAAGAATGATAGACTGTGGAAAGCACACAAAGAGGAGTGGTTTGCTTCTGGTCATGATATCCTTATGTCGGAGACTTTTAAAATACAAACTGTACTGCAGGTTTATTATCAAGATGCATGGTCCATGACCGAACCTCACGACATGAACTCTAACAATTTGGTAAGGCATTAAATTTGGATTTCAGAACAATAACTGAAACGACTGTTGATAACTTAAAGGTAAATAAAAAAACATACTTCATAAGTGCGGTTTGAGGTTAAGAAGACCTGCTTCAGCCAAGTAGTTGCCTACACATTACCTCACATCTCGTTTTGACTCAAATCGAGGTTACCTAAGCTGATAGTATCGCCACTAGGCGCAAGTACTCTTCTTAAATAAATCAAGGTTTAATGTTTCTATCAAAAAATAATGTATATCTTTATGACGAATATGCAAAGTGACAGACTGAAAAGTCATCATTATGAATGGATGTAAATGTATTTATTATATTGACGAGTAAAGACCCGCGCGGTATTGAACCTTTAGCTTGTGCTTTCGGACCAGACCATGTCTTGATGCGTGATAATTCCCAGTTTTATATGCTAACAGAAATATGACAGGCTACCTTAAGAAAAAGCTACAGAGGTCATGAACTGATGTCTGGTTGTATGTCTTATAGAACACCTTGTTAATATCTTGACTCACCACATTAAGTCAGAGAGCATGACATTGCGCCAACTGAGATTGAAACAAGACACGCCATAACCTGGCTAGTCAATTGATCATAAGCATGCCCCGAAAGTGTAGATACCGTAGGAATGCCAGAAACAAGGTGTAGGGCATATATGCCACTAAGTGTCTGTTTCTGTTGAAAACTATATATTAACCCTGAAGAAGCCGCAAAAGCGAAACGTTGGTTAAAACAAAAAGTTCTCTTATAATTATCTGAAGTGTAAAGGTAATTTTTTTTCTAATTTTATTATCAAAATCTATAAATCCCTCCAGGACGCATTACAAATTTTGGAAGACAATAAATGGTATTCCTAACATGTACTTTAATAGTTCATTTGGTTGCATTTTAATTTAACAAAAATGTCTTGTTCATTTGAGCTGTTGGTGCAGCTTACTATGTGACTTATTTGTTAAACATTTAGCACAAACCTAAAAAGTAAAAGAAACTATTAAGTTTCTGAAATTTTCAAACATTTTCGTTGTTTAAGTCGAAATATTTTTTGCGCTACAAAAATAATTAAGCTATAAATTATACAACTCTACAAATTAGGAATCAGGTAAAAAACTATGTATTAGCTCTTTCAACATCAGCTCTTGAAGGGATTTTCAAAATAATTTTCTCAACGAATCTTTTTGATTTATTTTATATGATAAAGGTCGAAAACAACAATAAAACAGCCATATGAGGCAAAAAGTACATTGAAAAATAGGACTTATATTTTTTACATAAGACTTACGAAAAACAGTCTTGATGAACAAAAACACAGCAATGATAATAAATATGAGATTAATAAAGAAATGGTGAAAACAAATTCAAGAAGAAAAGTAATGATATTAAATAACAATAGATTGGAAGACAAGATATCTGGACCAAAGACTATATCCGATCCAGTTATCAGTTATCAATTACAAACATGACTATTTTTTATTTAAGTGCAATTGTGTTATATATATATATATACACACATAAGAGAAAATATGTATTCGAAATTTTAGGTCAACCGTTGTCTTGCATTCAAAAGCTTTATTTTCTTCTGATTATCTAGGTTATGAAAAACAAATAGTGTTGAATTAATTTATGTATAAAAATTAAGTAAATTAGCAGAGTGCTTTAAATCAATATTACTTATACTTTAGCAAGACGAACGAGGTGTTCAGTGTGACTGGATATTTAATAAGACTTGTCTGTTAACAAAACGTTATGGATGCTTGATGTGATATATCTTCAGTAAACTCGTATAGGTGCTCAATATAACTTTCCCCATTATGGATATTTGACACAGTTTTCACTAAAGAAAGATCCTGTAGATTTGTTTACGACTTGTCCATCAGTAACACTTTATTTATTGTTTGATTAATATGGCTTACACTTTATCAAGCCGTTATGCATTTTCAAAATGACTTACCTCTTGCTAAGTGTTTATAGATATGAAATAACATTCTCTATAGTAGTATCTGAAAGTTGTTTAATATGATTTACCCTTCAGTAAGGTGCTATGAATGTTCGTCAAGAAGAATTCCACTTCTTTATCCAGGTTACTGTAGTATGTGGTGTGATATTGAACTGGATCAAAACGTTCACGGTATAAACTTTTCACCTCTTTATTGGTCATCGGCATGGTCAGCTGGCACGTAATATAAGTCCCTATTAATCAAATATTCACATATACTGTAAATGCCTGGTTCGATTTCTTAAATTACAACTGCAAATAAGTGCATGAAGTTTTATAAGTTTTACATCTTTGAAAACGCGTAAAATGCATATATAATTCGAAGAACTTATGAGGGGAAATAAAGAAGAATGTACACCTCTATGTCAACCACACTATATCTGCTATATCTAGTACTACCAATACAAGGGCATATCAGGCCGGTCGAAATACGACAGACACAATAGTAAGTAATGGTTGAGACGCTACAGACACAGTAGTGGTTGAGACGCTACAGATATAATAGTGGGTTGAGACGCTACAGACACAGTAGTGGTTGAGACGCTACATAAATTTGATTAAGAACAATTGTTGTGATGTTAACTAGATTAAATGGTGAAGTGTAATTTTCATCAATTACACATGAATCATTCACAAATCAGAACAATAAGAAATAGATGGTTGGATGAGTAACAAAACATAAATGTTACAACAAATATAAAACTACATTATGTATCACTAAATTACAACAAATATACTACATTATGTATCACTATACTACAACAAATATAATACTATATTATGTATCACTATATTACAACAAATATAATACTACATTATGTATCACTATATTACAACAAATATAATACTACATTATGTATCACTATACTACAACAAATATAATACTACATTATGTATCACTATACTACAACAAATATAATACTACATTATGTATCACTATATTACAACAAATATAATACTACATTATGTATCACTATACTACAACAAATATAATACTACATTATGTATCATTATACTACAACAAATATAATACTACATTATGTATCACTATACTACAACAAATATAATACTACATTATATATCATTATACTACAACAAATATAATACTACATTATGTATCAATATACTACAACAATATAATACTACATTATGTATGACTATACTACAACAATATAATACTAAAACTCATAGTCTGATAATAAAACCTTTTATGATAAAGTAGTACATTTTATTATGATGTTCTAGTGACATTTTAACACAAAAATACCATATCTGAAGTGAACTTTACAGTTATATTTATAACACTTACGACACAAGAGAAGGGACCCCACTTGGATCTTCAACACAAACGATGGATTGGGACCAAACTGAAGATGACAAGCTTTATATTGGTTCTTAGTGTGCTATATAAAAAAAAAATAATAATAATAACAAGCTCTGAGTCTTCAGACAATACTGATCAATGGCAAAGTGGGGTCATTATTTTTCGAATGAGAAAGATAACTGGAAAGGATGATAGTGACGGTCTCTTATCTTCGCTACATATTCCCAGAGAAAAATGTACGAGTTCGAAGATTTGATGGAAACAGGTGAAGTGTCAGATAAATACGGGATTATAAATGATAAGAGTTCGCCTGGTGGGTTAATGAGAAAACGTCTCCTGCACAATAATCTCTCTCTGCGTTAATAAACTTGACATTAAAGACTAAAATATTCATCTCTGTTAAGTATTTGTCTTCTGGGAAAGATAAATTGGGCTCTAACCAGAGTTTATGATAATAAATATTTCTATTGGAAATCAACGTCACCGAGAAAGTATAGTATTTTTCATTCGATGTGTGTGTATTCATTGATTACTGGTTTCTTTATTCCCGCGCGCACACAAACACAACTACCTACATTGACATACACACACGTAATTGATGATTCAGAATATGTAAAACATGTTTGCAACATGAATTTCCACAAAATGACCATTTTCATGGACTATATGGACTAAAGTAAAATAAATTTATAAATATCAATTCCAAAGGATTTTGTGATGTATTTTGTATTTGGTATTTAGATTTGTACTTGTAGTGCCATCTGTAAGAAAATGATTAAACCTGATTTTTAAAATGTAAATTATTAGAGAAATCTACACACATTCGTTATGTTTATGTATGGAAATAACACTAAGTTACTGAATGCATCAGTACATAGAAAAAACAATTAATATCCTTTGTTACCCTTCTCACAACGTATCCTTAGACTATAATCAAAACTTACAGAAAATGTTAAAACGTGGTAACTGAAAATAAACAAGCAAATAATTAAAAATAAATTCCAGAGACATAAAACGAAACTTTGTCCCACACTACTTCTTGGCTACACAAATACACATCTTCAGTTATAATTAACTTAGGGTCAGTGGCGTAGCAAGGGTTCTCAGCACCCGGGAACAAAGACACTTTGGCGCCCCATCTCTGAAATTTTTTGATTATTTGTTTTGTGACACATTACACACTTAATGACAATAACATAAAGAATTAATTATCACCTTACACAGGCCCAAAATAAAGTCACAATATAACATCTCACGATATCACAACTGTAAACCTGGAAATAATGAAGTATAGCCTACTAGGTGTACTTACATAATTTGTAAGCCATTTTGATATTTATGTCATCCAGTATTGTTCAAAGTCATATAGCTAGAGTAATCTTTCAAGCATGCAGAATAAATTTCTGTTATATCCCTAGTTTTGAAACTTATGTTTTATATGAGAAGCCAGTCACTTGTGGTGTACATGGATTATAAAACAGCTTGATAAAATACTACTTAAGTTTACAAATAACAAATTTTATTAGTTTACAAAACTGTACATACACATAACTAGATCTTGTACAGGTAGCATTCTGGTATTCATAGTTACATTATATGAACCTTTCGTGCTTTTGCTGCTGCAAATGCATCAATTAAACTATCAAAATTTAAGGTATGAAGTACGTCTTTTTCAATCTTCACTATATGAAATTATAAATGTTAGCAAATCAGTTGCAACCAGTTGCAATTAGTTCAAGAAAATTGATCTGTGTTCATTTACTCATCAACATTCTACAGTCTTTAATTTCTCTTTAAAATTCTGGTCCATCAATATCACCTGGATAGCTCTTTGCTAAGTCAGAAAATTTTTCTTGCAATTTTCCGTCTTCGAAATCTCCAGAAACAATATTTTGCACATGTAGTAGAAATCCAAACCGTGAATCTAAATCTAGTAAGCGAGAAAATCTTCCTGTTATTTCTGTAATCAAGCGATCAATAACATCCTTCATGATGCGATAAATTTCCTGTTCAGCAGTCAATCCAGCATCAGCTGCATTTTCACCTGGCATTCGTTTACGACGTTTTTTTCTTCTTTCAATGGTCAATCACCATGTTTCACATTGATTCTTGCCCACTTTAAGCGCTTCTTGACAGGACTTTTCATGTGATTCTATCAATTTCTTTTTCAAAGAATCAAGATCAGCAGCTGCTTCTCTAAAATTCATTATTGGGTCCCAAAGACGTTTCTGCACTCGATTGATAGATGGCAAACGCAAAAGTACAAGAAAATCAAATGTAAGCATGCGTTGGAGATTATTATGAGCACCACATTTTGTTTCAGCTGTGTTACCATTCTCACTTAATTGCTCTAACAGTCCTAGCAATTCATCCAGTTTACTGCCTTTTCTCTTGCACTCCACCGTGTTTCTGATTCACGCTTGACAGAGATCTTAAGCTCCTGCTACAGTTCGTCCCATCGAGTTGTTGAATGGGCAAAGAAATTATAAATGGCTTCAATTATACCAAAAAAGATAATAACTGTTGTTTCCTGACTTGCAGCATGAAGACATGTTAAGTTCAAACTATGGTTGTAGTTTATAAACACTGCTTTCGGATTTTTGTTCAGAATCCTTTGCTGAACGCCTGACATGACAGCAGCATTATCATAACATTGTGAACAACAATCACTCAAGAAAATTCCATCCGCTTCTAATTTTATTGTTTTCTCAATATTGTCAGCGCCTTTTTCCTTTATCTGTATAAAGTCAATGAATAACTCTTTGACTTC